TTCATTTAAGAACTGCTTGGCCCATGAACTCTAGCCCTTACAGGCTAATTCTCGCACCTGGACTAGCCCATTTCTAATAATGCGTGTAAGCACCCCAAGGTGCGCTTACCGGGAAGATTCTAGCCTAAGTCCATCGTGGGTTGCAGCTGCCTGGGAAAGCAGAGCATGGCGGCTGTCCGGTCCCTCTGGAAGCAGCGCAGAGTCTGACCTCACTTCTTCTTCCGCCCAGAATTCTATTCTGTTTATTCCGCCCACCTATCTTTTAACCTATCAGGGCCAGCAGTTTCTTTATTGCTCAGCCATTGAAATCAACAGATTGATATGACACTCCCACATCACCGTAGAATTTGCCTCAGCTTCCAGGTGTTGGACCACAGGCATGTGCCACCATACTTGACTGATGATATACTTTGTCTTTTTCTTTTAGTTGGCTTTCTGGAATTATACATATCTACAGCCCTCAGGTCTGGGCTTGCTGCTTGAGATACATGTTCAGTTCTTCTATCAAGGAAAGGCAAGTGATATTTTATCCTATAGTGTTTTAGTTTATTTCCCTGTTTATTCTGTATTAGTTTATAGTATAATGAATTGTATAATACATAGACTGTTTTAATCTTTTACAATACTTAATAAATTCATACTTTAAGAAAAAGAATCCTTAGACTGAAGAGATGGCTCAAAGGTTAAGAGCACTGACCGCTCTTCTGGAGGTCCTGAGTTCAATTCCCACCTTCCACATGGTGGCTCACATCCATCTGTAATAAGATCTGATGTCCTCTTCTGGCATGCAGGCAAACATGCAGACAGAACACTGTACATAATAAACAGATCTTTAAAAAAGAGAAAGAAAGAAAAATAATTCTTTTATTAAATGAGACTACAGAGAGGGGAGGTAAGCTGTAGCTATCGTGGGTAGGCTAGGCTGTATGAACTCCAGAGGCTCTGTATGAAAGATCACACGTAAGGATGCTAGTGTGGCCAGACAGAAGGGCAGAGAAGCAGGATATGAGCTCAAAACAGGTGAGTGGAAAGCCTTTGTTTGCTTTTTCTTCAGTCTTTTGAGACAGGGTCTTAACCTCTAGCCAAAATGGCCTTGAATTCACTGTGTAGCCCGGATTAAATTTGAACTCAGGGCAGTCTTGCTGCCCCGGCCTCTAAGTGTTAGAACTACAGGCATAGGCTGCTGTTCCTGGTGTCTCTGGCTGGTTTGTCTTGGATTGTGCTTCTTCCTCATATATTTGTAAGGCCATGCACTTCCCTCCTTTTTCGCTTTCCCCATTTCTCTCTGCCCACATAGCATATAAATACTTAGAGCAAACCTTTCTTCCCTTGAATTGTTACTTTACTTCACTTCATTTTAGTTACAATATTTTTCCCCAGCTGTATTCTTCTACCTCATTGTGCTGGGTCTCCAAGCCAAAGCTTTGTACATCTCTGACCTATACTGAAGCTTTTATTTTGTTGTGTTGTGTTGGTTGTTTTGCTTATATGAATGTCTGTGTACTATTTGCATACGTGGTGCCCACAGAGGCTAGAAGAGAGCCTTGTGGACCAAGCACTGGAGTTCCAGGTGGCTGTAAACTGTCAGCTGGGTGCTGGGAATCAAGCCCAGGTTTTCTAGAAGAGTAGCAGCTGTAGCATGAATTCTAATTGTTTTTAATAGTAAAAGTAATAATAAAAAAGTCAGTTATCAGTGTGAAAGCTGAAGGATCAGAGAAGCAGAGTGTCCAGCCAGTAGACCTTTTATTTCTACCAATGCTCAGACCAAAGGAATGATGCTGTCCTCAGACTGCAGCCTCAGACTGACTGCTTCAGACTGTTGCCTCAGACTGCATCCATCTCTACCAAACCTCAGACTGCTTCTTAGCTTCTTTCTCCTCCTGCCTTATATTTCTTTCTCCACGCAGCCATATCCCTTTCTGTCTCCACCTCCCTAGTGCTGAGATTAAAGGCATGGGACTCCCAAGTAGTGGGAGTAAAGGTGTATGCCACCTCTGCCTGGCCTCTAGTGGCTTAGCTCTGCACTCAGATCTTCAGGCAAGCTTTATTTGTTAAAGCACAAACAAAATATCACTACAAGCAGGTGCTCTTTAATGACTGATTCATCTCTAGGTTGAACCCCAAGTTTTTTTTATTTTAAGTCAAATTTACCGTTTTTCTTTCTTGCTTAGGCTTTTCCCACTTTTGGTGTATTACTAAAATAAAAGAATTCCTGTATTTTTTCAGATGCTTTTATAATTATACTTTTTATATGTTCTTCTGCTTTCCAAGTGAATTTTCTTTTTTGGCGGGGGGGGGGGGACTAAAACAAGCCAGACATAATGAGGCCTACCTTACCTATAATCCTAGCACTGGGAGGCTAAGGCAGGAGGACCAGTTTGAGGCTAGCCTGGGCTACATAGCAAGTTCCAAGCCAGCGTGTATTATGTGAGTTCTTATCCCAGACAGACAAAAAGAGAAGGGTGCTAAATATTTTCTTTTTTAAAAAAAATTATTATTTATTTTATGTATATGGGTATCTCTATATGTATGTCTGTATTTCACATGCATTCCTGGTGTTCATGGAGGCTAGAAGAGGATGTCCCGTCCCATGGGACTGGAGTTACAGATGGTTGTGAGGCACCATGTGGGTGCTGGGAATTGAACCTGGTCCTCTGGAAGAGGAGTGAGACTCTTAACCACTGAGCCATCTCTTTAGTCCCAGGGTGCTAAATATACTTTGTGGGCTCTTTTCTGTGATTTAGTACAATTTAGCTTTATTATCAATTATTCATCCCCCCCCCCCCAGGTTTTCAAGATAGGGTTTCTCTGTATAGTCCTGGCTAGCCTGGAACATGCTCTGTAGATCAGGTAGCCTTGTCAGATCTGCCTGCCTCTGCTTCGCAAGTGCTGAGATTAAAGGGGTATACCACCGCCACCTGGCTATCAATTACACATCTTGTTCTTAAGTTTTGATAGACAGTAAATATTCAGTAAAAGCTCAGGTGGGTGTTGAACTCCTGGACTCAAATGATCCTTTTTCACTCTTCCGTATAGCTATAGGTATATACCATTGTGTGCATAGTCTTGCTGTGTGTGTTCATTTTTGAAAAGGAAGTTTTTTCCATTTTATACATATCTATTTTGATGTTTTGCAAGGAATGTTTATATATTTTATTATAGAATTTTTTTAAAATTTAAGAACTTTGGGGGCTGGAGAGATGGCTTAATGGTTAAGAGCACTGACTGCACTTGCAGAGGATCCTGGTTTGATTCCCAGTGCCCACATACTGGCTCTGCACCTCCAAGGGCAACAGGAATGTGCATCGTGCAGGTGCATACATACTGACAAACACATAAAACAAAAATAATCTTTGGGGGCTGGAGAGATGGCTCAGCAGTTAAGATGCTCTTCCAGAAGACCTGGGTTCAGTTTCCAGCACCCACATGCAGCTCACAGCTGTCTGTCTGTCTCACAACTCCAGTTCCAGGGAATCTGACATCCTCATACTGATGGACATAAAATTAAATAGATTATTCAAAGATAAACAAATCTTTAAAAAAATAACAACAAAAGGAAAGCGCGTGTACTTTAGACAGTTTGTTGACTAGATTGGGAAACTTTCCTGGGAGATCTTTCAGTATAATATCTTTAGCACTAGATTTTAATTCAATGCCTTTTTTTTTTTGTTCTGTTCAGGGTTTTTTCAGAATCTGGAAATTTCATCATAGTTCTTTATTCACTGACGCATAAGGAACCTGAATTTTATGAGTGCCTTCCTTGTGACAGTAGGAAGCCTGGCCTTCAGTTTCAGTTACTAACCAACAAGGAGACTTTGCATCTTTTCCATGTAAGTGCTTAGACTCGCCTGTGTGCCTGTTATTTTGCTCATCACTCTGAGCAAAGAATGCGAGATAAATAAAGAAGCAGAGGTTTCTTAGGGCTCCCAGTTTCAGAGAGCTCGGGCCGTGGTAGGTTGGCCTCATGTGCTACAGCAGAACATCATGGTAAGACTGTGTGGTAGAAAAGAGCTACTCACTTCATGGCTAACCCGGAAGCAGAAATACAGATGCTTCACTGTGTCTTTTTTACACCCCTTGCTTCAGTCAGGGCTTCAGCACATGCGATGGTACCACCCACATTCTGGGTGCATTTTCACCAGTTAGTCCTCTCTGGAAACACCTTCACCAATAACATGCAGCGATGCCTCGTCTGTATAGGTGAATGTAAGTCTAGTCAAGTTGCTAGTAAAGATTTATTCTAGTCACTTTGTCAGTAACTTATACATTGTATTATTTTGTGCTGCTGAGGATTAATTTTTGATGTTAGTGTTTTCCTTGTTACCACTTACTTTTAAAATATGTGGGAGAATTAATATAGAAAAGATTCTCATGGGAGCTGGAGACTTGACTTCGTGGTTAAGAGCACTGGCTGCTTTTCCAGAGGACCTGTGTTCAGTTCCCAGAATCCCCATGGTGGCTCACAACCTTTTGTAACTTTAGTTCTAGGAGACCCAACAAAGTACATAAAAATGTATCTAGGAACCAGGCCTAGTGGCGCAGTCTTTTAATCCCAGTACTCAGTAGGCAGAGGACGGTGAATATCTGTGAGTTCAGAGGTCTACATAGTGAGCTCCAGGACAGCCAGACCTGCATTTTACCTTTAAAAATAAATGCTGCAGCATCTAGGTGGTCATTACAGAGAAAGTAGGTTTTTGAAGTTGTCATATAAATACTGCATTTAAAGGATAAGTCGGATGTGGTATCTCATGCCCAGTACTCAGGAGGCAGAGGCCGAATCAGACAGATCCCTGAGTTAGAGGCCAGCCTGGTCTACATTGTGAGTTCCAGGTTAGCCATGGCTGTGTAGAGGGGCCCTGCTCAAACAAACAAACAAATAAAAAGGTAATTTGCCCAGGCTGGCTTCAAACTCCTTTCCTCAGATAATCCTCCTATCTCAGCCTCCTTGAGTACCTAGGACTATATGTGGCTACCATTGTTTCTGGTTTAAACACTACTTCTTTAAAATTAATTACTATTTATCTTAAGTCTTAAGTAGCAAAAGTATATTCAGTATTTTATCATTATAAGAGTACTGAATAACTCCAAATAACCATGTGGTTCCACTCAGCTCCACTTGTTTTCTTTGAATTCATTTATAGATTATATCATTTCATGAGTATGCTTTTTTAAATGTTTTTACATGTTGTTATATTCACCGAGTCCATGGTTACTGAGTGAGTTTCATAATACAGGGTTAGGTTTTTATTTTCACGTACAAAACAGGAAGCCAGGCATTCTACAGAAGCAGGTCACAGAAACCGAAAGTGTTCCTTCTGGCAGTGAGCCAGAGCTACTGTTCAGGTAGAATTCTTTGATATTGTAAATCAGATCTCAGAATATGACCTACTCCATTTCAGAATGTTGAACCTTCTGACAAAAATCCAATCCATTTTGAACTAAGTGCTGAAAGTCAAGATGCAGAAGCAGAGTTTTTTGGCAAGATTTCCAAGAATCTTTCAGTTAAGAGGTAAAAGATAATCTTTATTACTATGTATATCTTTGTTACTTATTAGTTTTTATTGAGTAATTAAAATATTTTCAGGGCCAGTAATATTTACTCAGTGGGTAAAGTCACTTGCTATTGACCTGAGTTTGATCCCTGGATCTCAAGTATAGGTGAAGGAGAGAAGTGACCCCAAAGTTGTTCCCTGGCTTCTACGTGTGAAGGCATGCATCCCTCCCACCCCAAAATAAATAAACACAGCTTTTTTAAAAAAGACCTCCAATTATTTCTGGTAAAGTTATTTGATAAACTCAGTTCAAAGCTGTCTTTGAATGCTGGGGATCGTTTGTTTGTTTGTTTATTTGTTGAAATCTTAGTTTGCTCATTGATTCTTTAGTAAGAAACTAATTTTTAAATTATCCTAGCAGGTATCTTGTCTGTTTCTTGGATTTTTTATTCATTTGTTTAGTAGGAATACAAAATGGTAAGATTTGTGCATATTTTCACACATGCGTACTGTGTTTTGCTCATATTCACACTGCACTTTCTTCCCTCTTCCCGTAAATAGTCCTCTAGTGATATTTTGTTTGTGCTTTAACAAAGAAGGTTTGTCTGAAGATCAGAGTGTAGAGGTGAGAACACTCTAGTGACTGTCAGCTCTGCTTCTCTGTTCTCTCAGCCTTCACCCCCTAATATCTGACTCCGGGTTTTAATTATTAACAGGAATTAGAATTTGAGCTACATCTTCCCACTTGGTTTTCAGGCACACACGTGTATAGCTAAATCTATGTCCTAATATCAGAGAGAACATGCAACATTAATCATTTTGAATCTGGTTTATTTCAGTTAATTATCCTCTGTTCTGTCCATTTTCCTGAGAATGTTGTTACTCCATTCTTTGTGGCTGAGCAAACTCATTTTCTTTATTCTTTCTTCTGCTGATGGGCATTTAGGTTGCTTCTTATTTTGACTGTTGTTAATAGTGCTAAGGTAAGTTTTGTTTTATAATTTGATGATGATGATGCAATACCAGGGATCAAACCCTGGGCCTCTTAGATGCTAGTCAAGTAGTCTACTATTGAGCTACATACTTTTTTTAATTCAAAAGATTTATTTATTGTATTTGTATGAGTGATTTGTCTGCGTGTCTTTATGTGCACCATGTGCATACAGTGCCTTCAGAAGTCAAAAGAGGGCATCAGATCTCCTGGTATTCAAGTTGTAATGGTTATGAGCTGCCATGTGGAGACTAAGATCCAAAGGAGCCCTTTACAAAGTAACCATGGAGCCATCTCTGCAGCTCCTTAGCTTTTTAAAATGTAACCTGAACCTGCCTTTCAGTTCTGTTTATGTTGTGTGTTTAGAATACTACATGAGAAATAAGCTGATACAACGAAAATTTTCATTGATTGTTGGAATGCTTTGGTTTTATTGAGGAAATGGCTGGTATCAGATCTATCTTTGTTCAAGTATTTATTTACAGTTCTGGGGATCAGAAATTAAAAATGGTGTTTGGATCTAAAAACCAAAGTATTGGCAGGTTGCGTTCATTCTGGAGTTTCCTTCTATTCTGGGGACAATTTGTTTTTGGTTTTGTTTGTTTACTTTTTTTAGCTTCTAGAAGCCATTTGTATCCTGTCTAAAAGCTCCTTATATTATTTTCAAACCAACAGCATCTCTTCACATCTCTCCCTCCCCTTTTCCTTCTCATCTTCTCCCTGACCCTTGAGGTTATGTTATGTTATGTTAGGCAGCAAAGGCACACACCTTTAATCCCAATACTCGGAGGCAGAGGCAGGAAGATCTTTGGGTTTGAGGCCAGCCTGGTCTACAGAGTAAGTTCCAGGACAGCCAGGGCTACACAGAGAAACTTTCTCTCGAAAACAAAAAAATAAAATAAAATGAAAAATAAAATAAATGTAGTAAAAGTATTCCACAGAGAAACTCAAGTATGCAAAGTAATGTGCCCTGTTTTCCTCCATAATTGAACTGTCTACCTTAAACCTCTATTCTACTTGTTCTTTTATTCTGTTCAGATTATAGTCAGTTCAGCATCTTTGTATCCCCTTTCTTCTAAGATTTTATGTAGAGGGGATTAATGGCGTATAGTTACTGGTTAAAAAAAGGTGGTGTGATTCTCATCTGTCTGTACTGTGGTTTGCTGAGATGTGTCCATTTGTATCTAATCTTTGACAGGTTGATGCAAGTTCTTTTTTTAAGCATTTTTTAAATTGTCACTATATATATGTTTAATATATACTATAAATAATATATTTAATATATATATTTAAGATTTATTTTTTGTATACAGGTACTTTGTCTGCATGTATGCCTACAGACCAGAAGACTCTGGTTAGACTCTTCTGATCATGAGCTACCATGTGGGTTCTGGGAACTGAACCCACGACCTCTGAAGAGCAAGCAGTGCTCTTAAGTGCTGAGCCATCTCTCTAGCCCTACTACAAGTTCTTGAGCCTGTTGGGGCACTGACTTTCTGTGTCATGAGCAGCCTGCACTGAGCACATGGACTATCATTGTGTAGTTCACATGTCCCTGTGTGTTGTAGGAGAGCCGAATGGGACCGATACAGACCCTGCCTATCTGCTCCAACACATCATGCAGACATCGTCATTGCTTTCCTGTAGTATCTTGCACAGAAAACATTTATGACTGTTTCTCTCCCTAGACCACCAGGATTTGGGAAGGTCTTGTCTTCAAATCTTCTTTGTGGTTTCTTACTCTTTTTCCTTTTTTTTAAAAATTTATTTATTTTATTTATTATGTATACAATAATACATAATGCAGGCATCCGTTTGTGTATATGCCTGCAGGCCAGAAGAGGGCACCAGACCCCATTACAGATGGTTGTGAGCCACCATGTGGTTGCTGGGAATTGAACTCAGGACCTTTGGAAGAGCAGGCAATGTTCTTAACCTCTGAGCCGTCTTTCCAGCCCCCCTCTTTTTCATTTTGAGGAAGAATTCAACTTATGTAGAACAGGATACTTTTTAGGAACCTCACTAATTCTAAGCTCTCTTACTTTATTATTGCTCACTTTTCCCTAAAGCATCCTAATGAGACTTTGTTTATTAAGATGAAACAAACAACAACACCCTTATGCACATACATTCTAAATCTTTACCCCCCCCCAACACAAAATCTTTGATCTTAAACCTTAATTTAACTTTTGAAACTTGGTGCCAACATTAAAATTTTTTCTTCCCGCCTTCCTTCTCATTAGTGCTGGGATTGAGCCCAGGGTTTGCACGTACTAGTCAACCACTTTACCACTGAACTATATCCCCAACCTTATCAGAGTTCCTTCTTTGGGTGGAGCATGCTCTCTGGGATACAGTGACTACAGCTGACTAAATAGGAGGTGTACTCCATTTTAAGTATGTTCCCACTGTATATATTAGCACACAGGAAAAGGGGATGAATAAGAGCTGGTATAATGACATATATATAAAAATGCTATAAAAATAAATAAACTATAACTTTGTATAATAACTTAAAAATTAATTTTAAAAAGAACTTAGGAGCCAGCAAGATGGCTCAGTGGGTGAAACAAATTGTTTTCAACTCGAATAACGTGAGTTTTGATCTCTAGATTTTACTTGATATGAGAGAACCAACTGCTGGGCAGTGGTGCCTCACACCTTTAAATCCCAGCCCTTGTGAGGCAGAGGCAGGAGGATCTCTATGAGTTCGAGGCCAGCCTGGTCCACAGATTGAATGCCAGGGCAGGCTTCAAAGCTACATAGAGAAACCCTCTCTCAAAAAAACAAACAGAGAGAGAGAGAGAGAGAGAGAGAGAGAGAGAGAGAGAGAGAGAGAGAGAGAGCAAGAACCAAATTCTGAAAGTTGCTCTGTGACTTCTGTGTGTTGCACATACATACACATGATACACAAAATAGGTTTTTTAAACGTAATAATGCTTTTTTTTGAGAAAAGTTCTTACCTTGCCTAGCCTGGAAGTCACTATGTAGAGCATAGAGATCTGTCTGCTGTGCTGGTATTAAAGTCATGCACCACCCCACCCACCCATGTTTTTTAGAAGTACACAGAAAAACATAATTCGGTGGTTTTCCCTGTTATCACAGTGGATGTTTAATACAGTGTGTTGAATACTGTTGGAGTGTGTCTTAGTTACTTCTGCTTTTGCTGTAACAAATAAAATAGCTGATAGAACAGCTATTAGGTAAAGGTTATTTTGAGTCATTGTTTCAGAGTGATTTCAGTTCTTACTGGGGAGGCATGGTGACAGGAGTGTCTCCACCCAACAGCGATGGGACTTCACATTGGGGGCCAGGAGACGTAAGGCAGGACAGAATCAAAAGCAAAGGTGGCATTCAAAGGTCCACCCTAACTGACCTACTTCCAACAGCCACTACCTCCTGAAGGTTCTGTGGTCTTCAAAATACTACAAAAGTACTATGGAGTCCATTTCACGCTCTAATGCACGTTCTTTCTGTGTTGTTGAGTGTGGTCAACCAGAAGGTATTCAGTGACCACTGATGTTCTGTAGCATTTCAAAAAGTAGGGCTACTTCGAGTGATTGGGTAAATGGGGCAGTTAATAACTAACCCTGGGTAGACCAGCTTTCCTGGTAAACTAACACTGATCGAAGAAAGTCATCTGCAGCTGTCAGGTACTAAATTGTGTATAGTATTTACTAAATGACATTGTCACATTTCAAACAACCCTGGCTGACTGAAGGGTTTTTGTCTCCTCTTCTACTCTTTAGATCTCCTCAAAAAATATCTCCTGGGAAAATATCCAGAAATAAACATGGTGCTGACTTTGAAGATGACTTTTCTCCAAGACCGATTCCCAGTCCTCACCCAGTGAGTGAGAAGGTAGTGCGCTCAAAATGAACTCACCTTCAGCTAGAAATCTTATATAGTAAAACACTTAAATACCACCTCATTCTTATATATGGATCGTCCTGGCTGTTATATGATTATATCTCTATGTGGGAATGTATGTATATATCTCACAGGTACATATAATTAAGTAATGGTATATACATATATTCACATAAGAATGTGTACGTAAGTGTAAGGAAACGGAGGTTTCAGCTGGTTAGCTGTTCATGATCCACACACTAGTAAGCAGACAACTGGGATTGCCATTCTGGGGCTTTGGCTTCGGCATTGGTGCTTCCAGCACACAAATGGACTCTGTCTTCTCTCACCCACTCTTGACGTTAGCTTTGTTATTGTACTCAGAGAAAACATCCTGCTTGCATTTAGAGGTGCCAGTAACTCTTGCTTATCATACTAGTGAGCTATTTTAGAAATATTTTCCTTAATTGGACTTAACTGAAAGGAAAAGAAATGGAAAAGATTTTAAAAAAATTAGTATGGTTGGTGACTTTCCCTTGAGAAGTCCACACCCACATTGTTGGTGTTTTAAATTTCTTCCCAAGCATCACTTTCTCCCTCTCTCTCTTTTTAAAGGTTTATTTGTTAATTTTTTAAATGTACATTGGTGTTTTATACACACACACACACACACACATATGTATGTATGTATATTCTGTGTGAGGGTATCGGATCCTCCACAACTGGATTATAGACAGTTAGCTGCCATATTGGTGCTGGGAATTGAACCTGGTCCTCTGGAAGAGCAGCCAGTGTTCTTAACTATTGAGCCATCTCTCCAGCCCTTTATTTCTTTCTCTTAACCCTCAAGCTTAAAATTTGTATTGCAATTTCCAACATTGCTTCAAAAAAATTGTAACAGATTTTATGTTGGCTCCCATCTCCTTTTTTTAATATAAGTAAAAGACCTAGTCGAGTGACGTCAGTGGAGAGTGTCCTGAAGTATTTATTGGAGTAGGTCTTTTGGTTTGTTCTTCTTTTTTGATTGTTTGGCTTTTTTGTTTTTGGTTTGTTTGTTTGTTTCTTCTTTTAGTTTCTCTGTGTAGTCCTGGCTGTTCTGGAACTCTCTTTTTACACCAGGCTGGCCTCAGACTCAGAGATCCACTGCCTGGTAGAGTGTTATTTCTTTAAGAAACATTACATGGGCTGCTGTATTTGTTGAAGCATTCTGCCTGGTAATTTTTTTGGCAAGTGAGGGTAAGAAACTGTAGTATAATACACTTTTTCATGTTTTTGTTCTGTAATCTAGACAATGTCAATCAGTGTCATAATAAAGGAATTCCATTTTAAATAAGTTTAGGAGCCTGGGGTGGAATAGGGGAGTTGGCACATGCCTTTAATTCTAGCGGGAGGCAAAGGCAGGTGAGTCTCTTGAGTTAGCCAGCCTGGTCTACAGAGTGAGTTCCAGGACAGGCAAGGCTATGTAGAGAGATCTAATGTTTTAGTTAGGGTTTTTATTGCTGTGAAGAGACACCATCACCATGGAACCTTAAAAGGAAAACATTTAACTAAAGTGACTTGCTTGCAATTTCAGAGGTTCAGTCCCTTCTCATCATGGCAGGGAGCATGGTGGTATGCAGGCTAATTTTGCTGGCTCCATCTTGACTTGCAGGGAACAGGAATTTGACTGTGACACTGGGCAAGTATCCCGGTCATAGGAAACCTCAAAGCCAGTTCACAGTGACAAACTTCTAGCAAGTCCATTCCTACTTCAACAAGGCCACACCTCCTAATAGTGCCACTCCTTGTGAGATTTATGGGGATCAAATACATTCAAACTACCACCCCTAGTCTCAAAAAAACTCAATAAGTCAGGGGAATATTCTCCTGTGTTCGAGGGCAACAGCCTTGTTTATTCTCACAGTTGTATCTCTGCTACCCAGAAAATATTTGTTGTTCGTCTAAGTAATGAATAAATCTTAATATGTAATTGGATATCACTTGGGAAAAATGTGTGTGTAAAGGAAATAGAGCAAATAAGTTTCCTAAGAATTTCCTCTTTGTGTCTATTTCTAGATTTCTAAGATCCAGCCGTCTGTCCCTGAACTCTCGCTTGTGTTAGACAGCAGCTTCACAGGCTCGAGTTCCCAGTCTAACCCGCTGGAACCGATGACTGTGGAGAACCCTTTGTTGATGAGGCCGTTGCAGCCTGAGCTTGGTGGTGACGAGCACAGCTCAGAGGCTGACGCCGGGGAGCCTTCCCTGAAGGGACAACCAAATCAGCTAAGCCAGGACGCTGCTCTGAGACAGCCCAGAGGGAAGCGATCACCTACCTGCAAGAAAGAAAGGCTCCATCTCAGGAACACCAATGTTAAACCGTTTCTTAATGCACCATCTCCTGAGGTATCTGAGAAACTTCCAGCAGTTTCTGCTGGAAGCATGCAAAAGGAAGACTATCCTGTGAGCCCCTCCACGGTGAATTCCAGGCAGCCCTCACTTGCATCACAAGCCCACCCACACAATTTTGTTTTTTCACCCCATAATTCAGCAAGACCAATGGAACTTCAAGTACCTACGCCTTCACTGCCGTCTTACTATCCCACAAACATCTGCAACTGTTGTCAACGCCACGGCCATATTCAGTATAGTACAATAAATTCTTGGCAGGGAAATACAGTAGGGTCCGTTCAAGACCTCCGAAATGAAGCCCTTCCAAAACATGCGTTATTTCCTTCAAGTGGATGTCCATCTCTGTATCATAATGCCATCTACTCTTCCGGCAGCCCTGTGGCCACGAAACCTCAGGGAGGCATGGGTGCTTATTCTCCCCACAACAATGGAGAGCCATCCCCTGTGGCAGGACCTTCACATGTGGACTCATGTATGCCACAGACTTGTGCCATGTGCATGCACACACCCAGCACGGTGCCAGACAACGGCATGATGGGACTATCTCCTGATGCATATCGCTTTGTCACAGAGCAAGACAGGCAGCTGAGACTACTTCAGGCACAGGTTTGTGAAGCTTTCTTGATACTCTTAAATTTTTTTTTAAAGATTTATTATTCTGCCTGCATGTATGCTTGCAGGCCAGAAGAGGGCACCAGGTCTCATGATAGATAGTTATGAGCCACCATATGGTTGCTGGAAATTGAACTCAGGACCTCTGGATGAGCAGCCAGTGCTCTTAACCGCTGAGCCATCCCTCCAGCCCCCATGTGCTCTTAAATTATTAATTTATTTCCTTAATGTCTGGCAACTCTACAGTGAGTTATACTTTATAGCAGTGTAGAATACTAGGACCACAAAGGCCTTAGAAGCTAAATTCTAGTCTCTCTTGTTTTACAGATAAAATGAGGATTAGAGAGAATAATTTAACTCTGCTCTGATTTGCTGGTTAGTAGAGTAGGACCAGAGAACAAGCCTTCTGTTTGTAGATCTTAACCTATAACTTAATTGCATTTTCTTTCCGTTTCCTCTAAAGCTTTATGTACAGCTGAATACAAAGGCTGGCATGTCTCTAGTTTGCCAGCCTGTATGTGTACTCACCTTAGCCAGTGTGTCTTTAGGACCTTGCTTGCTGCTGTATTGAGACCAGTTAACAACTCTGTGTGTCTGCTGTTTTTTATTTGTGTAGGTTTTTGACACACAGTCTCATGGGGCCTAGACTGGTCTTGAACATGTAACCCTTCTGCACACACCTGCAGGTACTGGAGTTACAGATGTGCATCACCACATCTAGCCCTCTCTGTGCTCCACTCATTTTGTTGGCAATATTTCCTTTCTTCACGACTTTTATTGCAGGGTTCTTAATATTTTAATATAGCTTTATTCAAAGTTTAGTCTGGGTTTGCCTTTCCCCCTCATTTCTCATCAACATCCCTCTTCTACATACATCTTCCAAACCAGTTGTTCTCTTTGCAGCCAGTGCTAGTGAAAATAACTTGATGTTTTTTCTTGGCCCTATAACTATACAAACACGTGAGTGCTCTGCATAATGTGTGATCTAGGGAAATCTTTGTTTCAAAGTCTTTTGAGGCCATCCCAGGCTAAAATACTGTCTTTTAAAATAGAAAGGTGGGTGGAGAGATGGCTCAGTGGTTAAAATAAAAATAAATAATATTTTAAAATTTTTAATAAAATTGCATTTTACAAAAAAAAAAGACAAATATTTTCAAATTCTACTTCAAATTCTTTGGATAGGACCCCCTGAGAAACTTCTACTTTATTTTATTTTTAAATGACATTATTGCTATTATTATTATTCAACACAGGGTTTCTCGGTAGCTTTTGGTTCCTGTCCTGGAACTAGCTCTTGTAGACCAGGCTGGCCTCTAACTCACAGAGATCTACCTGCCTCTGCCTCCCGAGTACTGGGACTAAAGGCATGCGCCACCACCGCCCAGCTTAAATGACTTTTTTTTAAAGATTTATTTATTTTATTAATTATTTACTTATTTATTTATTTTGGATTTTCGAGACAGGGTTTCTGGGTAGCTTTTGGTTCCTGTCCTGGAACTAGCTCTTCTAGACCAGGCTGGCCTCGAACTCACAGAGATCCGCCTGCCTCTGCCTCCCTAGTGCTGGGATTAAAGGCATGAGCCACCACCGCCCAGCAAGATTTATTTATTTTTTACATATACAATGTTCTGCCTGCATGTTTGCCTACAGACCAGAAGAGAGCACCATATCTCATTACAGATGGTCGTGAGTCAGTGCTCTTAACCGCTGAGCCATCTCTCCAGCCCCTTAAATGACTTTCTAAGTGTATTGTGTATATACCTGCATGAGTTTATGTGTACCATATGCATGCCTGTGCCAGAGGTGGCAGAGGGCATTGTATCCCCTGGAACTAGAGTTATAGGTGGTTGTGTGCCATCTGATACAGGTGCTGGGAGCCATCTCTCCAGCCCCAGCTTTTCAGGGTTTTTTGTTGTTGTTGTTTTGTTTTGTTTTATTTGTTTCGTTTTTGAGACAGGTTTTCTCTATAACTTTGAAACCTGTCCTGGAACTAGCTCTTGCAGACCAGGCTGTCCTCGAACTCAGAGATCTGCCTGCCTCTGCCTCCCAAGTGCTGGAATTAAAGGCGTGCGCCACCACCACCACCTGTTTTTTAAATAGAGGTAAATTCTTTGAGATTTGCATAAATTTTTATTTTAATGAATCATTAAATACTAAACCAAAAATGTTAATATAGTTAAATAACTAATTTTTTTTTTTTTTTTTTTTTTTTTTTTGGTTTTTCGAGACAGGGTTTCGCTGTGGTTTTGGAACCTGTCCTGGAACTAGCTCTTGTAGACCAGGCTGGTCTTGAACTCACAACAATCCGCCGGCCTCTGCCTCCCGAGTGCTGGGATTAAAGGCGTGCGCCACCACCACCCGGCTAATAACTAATATTTTTACATTGAAAATAATTATCATTTATTTTGTCTTGTTTTAAAAAAGGTTAATCAACCTAAAGTGATTCATTAAGCTATTTAAAAACATTAGCTACTTATAATGTATACTTATAGATTGTGAGCTCTCATCTAGATTATCATTACACAAAACAGAATTTTTTTCTATAAATACACATTATTTTCCTCATAATTTCTTTTTCCTTTTTTATGGAACTCTAGGTATAGGTGCACATGTGTGTGCATGCATATGGGGGCCTAGGGTCAGCCTTTCATGTTTTTCCTCAGGAGCTGCACACCTTGTGTTTACCATTATTATTAATTAGTACTATTGTTCTTATTGACCAAGAAGAACAAGAAATATTTTGTAGATGATAGGAATTTCAGATTAATACATATATGAGTGGATTAAAGCCTTACGCAAGTGTCTAAATATTCATTGAAGGAACAGGAAACACACAGAAGAAACATGGAACTATGGATAGTAGCTTCCTCTAGAAAGGATTTGAAATACCTCAGGAGGATAATCAGGTGACAAGTAAATGTGTTTTGATGTTATTGATGCATATAACACAATTTAGCTGTTTAAACTGTACAACCCAGTGGTTCTTTATGTGTTTAAAATGTTTTTGAGACAGTCGCTCAGTGGGACCTCGGGCTTAGGCTGTGAGTGAGCCTGAGGGATCTGCCTGTCTCCACCTTCCCAGTGTTCCCATCACATGTGACTCTTACTTGGGTGCTCGGGATCAAGCTCAGGTCCTCATGTTTGCTGAGCAAGCACCTTACCAGCTAAGCTGCTTCCATTGTGAGTCCATAGAGAACTTTATTGTATTGGGTCATTTTCTCAGAGTACACGTGGGCTTTCTAATTGTTTTGTTCTGTTCTGACAACACTTGGAACTTTGTTCTGCTGCAGTCAACGCACCAGTGGACATCCCGATACTCGTAGGTTGTTTTTTCTTCACTGTATTTAATTTTATGTATTTTTTACATTTTTTTGCTTCTTTCACTTATATACTTTATCAGCTGAGCCATCATTCCAGCCCACTTACTTGCATCTTTTATTCATATTTTTAGCTGCATATATGCTAATAGCAACGTGTCGTAGATTCCTAGAAGTAAACTTAATTTTTTTTATTATGTGTGTGTGCGCGGGCGCTTGTGTGTGCATGTGTGCTTGTGTGTGTGTTCCTGTTGACCGCGGTATGCATGTGAAAGTCAAGAGTTTACAGGAGTCACCTCTCCTTTCACCATGTGGGTCCTGGAGAAAGTCATGAAGCCTGACGGCAAGCACCTTTACCCTTGGAGCCATCTCACTGGCTCTCCAGAAGTAAATTGTGAAGTCAAAAGAAATGTTTATCTAAAAAGTTCAGGGATACCCAGCCTTGTGCTAGAACTGTAGCTCAGAGGTGGGGCCCTTGCCCAGTCTACAAAAAGATACCTAAACTTGCTCCTCTTCTGGCATTCACAGTGGTTTTGGTATTATACTTAATGGAGTAGGCAAATGAATTGGATGGGCAGATTCCTTAGATTACAATTCAGTTTCCATCCAATATAAGTTATGTAGCCATGGAAAAGCAACCTTATTGATAATTATATTAGTTCACTAAAACTAACTAGATCAGTTAACCATAATAGTACCAATTATAGGGAAATAGAAAATCAAAATATTTAGGGAAAAAACAAAAAGAATCAACAACAAAACAAATAAAGGAAATGTTCCTCACTCCAGTACATATTCAAGAAAAGTGAAAAGCCCTGTACACATGCTGCTGTGGCGGCACAGCCAGGAGATGCAGGGAGAGGGGAATCAAGCTGGGAGCCAGCCTGGCGGTAGAGCGAGGCTTAGGTCAGCTGGGACTACTTAGCAAGACACTATCTTAAAACAAGAAGACAAAAATCAAAATAAAACAAAAAAACTCCATGCATAAATGTCCATAGTAAGCCAGGCAGTGGTGGTGCACGCTTTTAATCCCAGCACTCGGGAGGCAGAGGCAGGCAGATCTCTGTGAGTTCGAGACCAGCCTGATCTACAGAGCTAGTTCCAGGACAGGCTCCAAATCCACAGAGAAACCCTGTCAGAAACAAACAAAAAAATGTCCATAGTAATATAGTTCACAAGAGGCCAAATTATAAACAGCCTGGTTCTCCATCAGCTTGATAGATGGATAAACTCAGTGGTCATATCCATACAGTGGAATATTCAGCACTCAGAAGCATTGATAAATGCTGTAGTTAATCTTAAAAGCTTTGTGTAAAGAGAAAGAAGCCAGACTCGAGTCTTAGTTCTGTCTGTATGAAATGGCCAGAATCAGCAAAGGCAGAGAGCCAGATGTGTTAGTGCGTGCCAAGGGCAGGAGAAAGGGGTGGTAAGGAATGACCGTGAATGACACAGAGACTTTTAGGGTTTGAAAATGTTCTGGAATTAATAGCAATTATTGTTTCATATTTTGTGACTATACTATAAACTTCAGAATTGATAATTTCCAAAGTTCATAAATTACCTCTCTGTTTGAAAAGGAGGAGGGAAGACTTTTGGTGTTTGGAGTTCAGTTTTCTACTTGTCAAAAATCTTTTTATTTTATGTTCATTGGTAGTATACCAAAGTCTGTGTGAGGGTGTCAAATCCCCTAGAGCTGGAGTTGCAGACAGTTATGAGCTGCCATGTGAGTGCTGGGAATTGAACCTGGGTCTCTGGAAAAGCAGACAGTATTCTTAACCACTGAGCTATCTCTCCAGCCCCTTGTCATACAATCTCAACAGGTAACTGTAATGTTTCAAGTTTTTCACCTGTAAAATGAATTTTAATAGTATACTGTTGACCGAGCTTTCTGTTCCACCAGGTCCCACTCTGTTTAGTCCCAAATAAACACACAGAGGCCTACACTAAATATAAACTGATTGGCCTATTAGCTCAGTATTCTTAACTCTGGTAACTTATATTAGTCCAAAATTCTTGTCTGTGTTAGCCACGTGGCTTGGTACCTTTTTCATCAGTGAGGCATTCTCATCTTGCTTGCTCTGTGATGACCATGGACTGACTCTTTTCTCTCCCCAGAATTCTCCTGTTCTCATTACCCCGCCTCTACTTCCTGCCTGGCTACTGGCCAATTGGCATTTAATTAAACAAGTACAAGAAACAAATCCTTATAGGGTAAAACCATTGTCCCACAGCAGTATACACTTCATGGAATTGTAAAATTCACATAAATTCTGTGGCATAGGGCTAGACAGATGACTCAGTGGTTAGGAGCCCTTGCTGCTCTTCTGAAGGACCCACGTTCAATTCCTAGTAGCCAGAGGATGGCTCACAACCATGTTAACTGCTTGTAACTGAAGCCTCAGGAAATGCAGTGCTCTCTTCTGGTCTCCATGGATACCAGGCATGTAGGTGGTGCAGACAAAACACGTACACAGCTAAAATAACTTGTGGTGCAAGTGTCTTGCAGACAAGAAAGAACTAGTCAGTGTTAGCTCTTGTTTGTTGCTATTTTGTTTCAATGTGGCCAAGCATGAGAACTTCTGACTAAACTTCATAGAAAGCATCTTGTGAAATATGCTCAGTATTTGGTGCATGAAGCTCAGGGTATGCCTCCGTCTCCATTCTTACTTGATGTATAGTGAAATAGGAGTAAAATGCGTTGATTTGAAGTATATGAATAAAAAGTATGATTTGAGGCCATTCAGACTTCATGTGTCATACATGTGTCAATTTATGAATATTAATCTAACCACCTGTATGTTTCACTTTTAAATTTATATGAATGAAAGTGGGTCTTAGTAACTAAGGATAATGGCTTTCTGCACCGAGTAAGTCTTGTGGTCTGATTTAATTGTATTGTTAGAAAATGTAAGTTAAAAATCATCTCTAATAACTAGAGTATTTGAAATTTGTTACTAAACTCTTCCACCAGCTTTGTTGATTGCTTCGTTGTTTGTTTAATGCATGTTTTTAATTGATACAGATTCAGCGCTTATTAGAAGCCCAGTCTCTAAATTCTGGCTCCCCTAAGACCACCACTGTGGAAGACACTGTGAAAGCGGCAAGACAAGTGGAGCTGGTGTCCATGGAGGCACAGTCTTCGCCTGGCTTGCACATGAGAAAAAGTGTGAGCATCGCTGTGAGCACAGGTAACTTTAGTTTTTAATGCTTCTCATGAGTGCCTGGAAAGGCATGGAGGAGGGGATGAGGAGATGCTTAGTATATTGCCTGCTGTACAACCATAAGGATCTGAGTTCAGCCCCCATGTGAAAAGCCAGGTACAGTAATGTACATCAGTAATCCTAGTCCTGGGAAGACTGAGACAGAAGGACCTCTGGGGCTCTCTGGCTGGCGAGTCTTGCCCAGCCCATGAGCTGTAGGTTCAGTTCTCAAAATACAGGGTGGAGAGTGGTGGAGAAGGACACCTGACAGGGACCTCTGCTATCCATATGTATTTGTACATATGTGTTCACACCTGCATGCACACATGTACACACTCACATATACCAAAGGGGAGAAAGTGTAGTGTTTTTTCTGTCTTATAAACTTCTATATTTACTGTATTGCAGTTTTTTTGGTTTGGTTTGGTTTGGTTTTGGTTTTTCCAAGACAGGATTTCTTTGTGTATCCCTAGCTGTCTTGGAACACTCTGTAGACCAGGCTGGCCTCAAACTCACAGATATTCACCTGCCTCTACCTCCCAGGTGCTGGGATTAAAGGCGTGCACAACCACTGCCCAGTTCCAAAACAAATTAATAGTCATTTGAACTAAAGAGACTTTTAGAAGCATATTTATTTTCTGTATACTTAACTTTCTCTAAAGGTATAGAGTAGGCAGGACCTAGTGCAACTTTTTTAAATGCTTTTTTCAAAAAAAAAAATGCGAATACAAAGTTAAACCTTGATCTTAATGATTTATCTCATGAAGTCACTCAGAGTAGAAAATGTTTTCATGGTGGTGCATTCCTGTAGTCCTAGTGCTCTGGAGAGTCTTGAGTTTGTGGCCAGGTTGGACTCTATACTTTATATCAAAAATAAAAGGAAAGGAAAGGAAAGGAAGAAAGAAACCATTTCAACTTACATTTTTTTAATTTCTTGAAACCATTGCATTAAAAGTTACATGTATCATAGTACAAAAGATTATTTGAGGTAGTATACAGATGAGCATCTTATTTTTGTAAATCTATTTTTTTAGACTTATGTGTATGACTTTTTTACCTGCATATATGTATGTATGTTCATCAGCTATATGTCTGATGCTGGCAGGGGCCAGAAGAGGTCGTTAGATCCTGTGGAACTGGAGTTAAGGATGGTTGTGAATCACCATATGAGTGCTGGGAACCAATCCCATGTCTTCTGCAAGAACAAGTGCCCTTAACCAGTGAGCCTGTTTTCCAGCCTTAATTAATTTTTCTTATGTGTAATAGAAAAGGTATCAAACCCGTGACTTCACAGAAAAGGTGAAGCCAGGCAAAAATAAAGTGAGTTTATGTAACAAAGTATAAATGAATAGTATGTAGGCTGGCTCAGAAAGCATATACAAACGGCTCATTATGTTAGAGCAGCACTGGTGTTTGTTTTTGTTTAAGCATGTATGTATTTTATATGCATGTGTGCACATGTGTGTACAGGTGTGCTGAACCTTGTAGGCATGAACAGATGCCAGAAGTTGACATCAGTCTGTCTTCTCATTTGCTTCTCTGCTTTATTTTTTGAGACAGAGTCTTTCTTAGACATGAAACTTGCCGTTTCAGGTAGGCTGCTGGCCAGCAGGTGGCATTTACATGGGTACTCAGGATCCAAATTCAGGTCCTCATGCAAGCAGTTCACACACTGATCTGTCTCCTTATCCCCAAGCACTTGACTTTTAAATATCTGCCTGCCAGTGTGTGTACCTTGTACACCTCTAACACAGTTTCTTAGAACACTCTACTTAAGGATCAAAACCAGAAAACCTATGAATTTACAGATCTTTCTTTTGCATGTGTACTGTTTTCTCCTGAGGTATTTCCATTTTACTTTGAGACAGACTACCACTAACGTAACCCACATTGGTCTTGAACTTGCTACATAGCCCAGGCTGTCCTCCATCCAAGATCCTCCTGCCTCAGCTTCTTGTACCTTAATTTGAGAAGCAGAGACTGCTCTCGAGCAAGCAGGACACAGCATATTCCCTTTCCCTTTGCCACTGGTTTTCTCTCTTCCTGCCTTTTGAAGCAGTGATTTTGTTAAGATAATGTAGATAGTCTTTACAAGCTTTTACATTTATTCTTTTTTCTAGTTGAATCTTTGTTCTAGTATCTGAACTCATTTAACCTCCAGGTGCTAGCTTGTTTTGGAATGCAGACGGTGATGATCAGGAGCCTGACTCACAGCTAAAGCAAGATGACACCAAGATTTCCAGTGAGGACATGAACTTTTCTGTTGATATTAATAACGAAGCAGCAAGTCCTCCTGGTAGCGCATCTTCATTAAAAGCAGTTGACATTCCCAGTTTTGAAGAAAGCACCGTTGCTGTGGAAGAGTTTAATCATCTGCTTCCTGAGTCTAAGTAAGAGTCTCTCATTAACTGTTTCACCCTACACACACACACACACACACACTCATACACACATTTCTTTTTTGCAGTGCTAAGGATTGAATATATTTTATATTTGGGGGTTGTGTGTGTGTTGTTTTTTGATGTGGGAGGAGTTGGTTGTTTTTTGTTTGAGACTGGGTCCCTATGTAACCCTGGCTGTTCTGGACCTCACTATGTATAGACTGGCTTAGAACTCACAGAGATCTGCCTACATCTGCCTCCTGAGTGCTGGAATTAAAGGTCCATAACCCTTTGCCTACCTTAGAATGTGATTTTTACACTTATATACATAGTATAGAATAAATAAATCTGGCAATCAAAATTAAGACCTCATAAACTTTTTGTGGTGAAAACGTTTAAAATGTGCTCTGTAATTCTGAAATACAGAAATCACTATTATTTATTTTAGTCAGCAATATGTACATTTTCTTCCTCTTTGAGAGATTGATATATTTATTATATTTTCATTAATGTCTATGTAATAAGTGTCAGTATAATGGAGAATTTTCAACTTTCTTCAACTATACCCATAAGTCAGCTGGTAGATATATTAATCTGAATGAATCAACAACATCCAAAGAAAGCTTAATCATTCTCTGTACTCAGACTTTACCTCAGAGATTCTGATAATACAGGATTCCAAGTGGCAGTGCAATTACATTTGAAAGCAACAACTAAATACTTACATATATCATTTTATATGTTCGCTTCAAAATAATAGATGAACTGACTAAATACAGAAACAAAACAGAATTGACAAGATGGTAATTTCTGTTGTTGTTGTTTAGTTTTGTTTTTCAAGACAGGGTTTCTCTGTGTAACAGTCCTGGCTGTCCTGGAACTCACTTTGTAGACCAGACTGGCCTTGAACTCATTGAGATCCACCTGCCTCTGCCACTCAAGTGCTGGAATTAAAGGCATGCACCAACACCAAGGGCTAAAATGGTAAATTTCAAAACACTGTTTTGTTAAACAGTTTTCACTTATATTTGAAGTTTTTCCATTATGAAATTTTCTACTAAATTAGAGTAATTTAGATACTCAGTAAATTTGGCAAAATATAGCAAGTGTTCTTTGAAATAGCATGGGACAAGCAGCAGATTTTTTTTTCAGGTTAAAAGCCTTGTGATACTAATTAGTATTCTAAACTATTGATTATGTAATAGTTAAATCCATGAATATGTACTTCTAAAAAGCTACGAGAAATGTGTTTTTATTTTATAACACTGTTTTAAATCAAAGGTTTTAAATTAAAGGTTCATATGAGTAGCAGTTTATTTAAAAACCTTTTGCATACATCTCCCCAGCAAAATTGAATTCCTGGGCCATATTTATTTCTCTGTCTTTGCTATATCTCCCCACGTTAGCCATTCATTCAGTCAGTCCGTCCAGCTGACCTAGAACTTGATATGTAGCACAAGTTGGCTTTGAACTCATGATCCTCCTGTCTCAGCCTCCTGAGGGCTGGGATTATAGGTATACACTACCATGTCCAACTCATGTTAGCTTCTAAATAAATGTTTCCTGACAGAAAAAGCCCCAAGTCTGTATACATTTTATTTTGAAAAATGTTAGAAACTCAAAGAACGAAACGTGATTTACCTTTTATCTGTCTTGAATTAATTCTTTTTTAATTAATTAATTTTTATAAGTGAATGTTTTACCTGCATGTATGTTTGTGCATCATGTGCTTGCAGAGTTTAGAAGAGGGCATCGAGTCCTTGTAGCCGGACATTTCTGTCCCACCTGGTCCCACAGCCGTTCAGTCCTGAATAAACACACAGAGGCTTATATTAATTATAAACTGTTTCCCTATTACTCAGGCTTATTACTAACTAGCTCTTGCAACTTAAATAAACCCATTTTTTTTTTCTTTTTTGGTTTTTCGAGACAGGGTTTCTCTGTAACTTTGGAGCCTATCCTGGAACTAGCTCTTGTAGACCAGGCTGGTCTCGAACTCACAGAGATCCGCCTGCCTCTGCCTTCCGAGTGCTGGGATTAAAGGTGTGTGCCACCACGCCTGGCTTAACCCATAATTCTTATCTGTGTTTAACTACACAGCTTGGTACCTTTCCTTGTGAGGTATTCTCCTCTCGCTTCCTCTGCATCTGGCCAGTGACTGCCTCTCTTCCTTTCCTCTTCCCAGAATTCTCCTAGTCTGGTTGCCTCGCCTATACTTTCTGCCTGCTCTTGGCCAATCAGTGTTTTATTAAACCAGTATGAGTGACAAGTCTTTACAGTGTACAAGAGCATTATCAGCAGGTCCTCTGGAATTTAAGTTACAGATGATTGTGAGCTGTCATGTGGGTGCTGGGAACCAAACCCAGGTCTTCCAGGGAAGAGCAGCCAGTGCTCTTAACCACTGACCTATCTCTCCAGCCCTTTCTTTTACTTAATTCTGTAATTAATACTGAATACTTTCTAGATTTAAGGTTTTCAAATCTGAAAATCTTCAATCCTTTGATAGTTTCTAACTTCAGAAAAGGAACTAATTTAACTGATAGGCTGAAGCTAATTGCTTTTTCAGAACAATTAATCAGCTTTATTGATTGTAACACCTAACAAGATGTAGATCTAGTCCCCTTTTTTTCAGCATATAATATATTGATTTAGAATCAATACTATCTCTAGGCCAGATGTGGTGGCACTTAGAATAGGAGGCAAGACAGTCGTGAGCATAGGCCAGCACAGACTAAATAGAAAGACCTTTCCTAAAAAGAAATCATTCACAGCTCCGTGCACGGTGGACTTGTGTTTCTCTGCACCCTGGCTGACTGCCGGCTCATGCTGTGGCTTTCATGCTGAGGATTCATCGGTGGCGCTTAGCTCCCTGTGCTCTGTGCTCTGGGCCCCCTTGACCGTCTGCTAGATCAGTCTTCGTGGTGTTGGAGCAGTCTCTGAAGATAAGTCTGTTGGCTGTGCAGCTTAATTGGTTATTGGTCACTGTTTCCAGTGGAAAGTGTGGTGCAAGGCATCTACTTACAGCAGTTTTATGAAGCCATGCTTTGGGTGCTTTTGGAGGCACTGACATTGGAATCATCCGTTACATTTTTGTTGTCATCTTACATTTTGGGGGGTTTAAAGTTTTTCGTGTCATTTTTTTTCCAGCTTTTGTTTTTATTTACTAGTTTAGACACCCAGCTAAATCTTTTTAAATTCTTGAGCACATGGTGTAGCCCATTGATTATGAGCACGCTCTGGTTTGAGCTTCCAATTTGAGCCATAGCGATATGGCCATAGACTGCTTTCACAGTCTCTAGTTGACTGCTTCTCACCTGTAAGATGGGAATAGTAAAGGCATCTGCTTCTGAGGTTATTGTGAAAATTAAGTGAGGATGTATATAAAATGGTCAGAACAGTGTCTGCGGCTCTGCAGCCAGCGTTTAGTGGAAGGTAAATACCGAGAAGCTGTTACAGGAGAAGAGACGTGGCTCACTGTTCCAGAGCTTTCAGTCCTCGCAGCTGGCTCCATTGTGGGCCTTTGGTGATTCTGACACACATCGCAGGGCCCAGCTGCTCACCTCATGGCAAGTGGGACTCTGCAGGACACAGAGAACCTGAGCCCACGAATAGGCTTTGTCCTTCTGATTTTCTTCACCCTGACCCCTGGTGCTGTCTACATTCAGGGCACCTAGAAATGTGCTTTAGGAATCTTCTAGGGGTCCCTCAGGCCAGTTGGCAGGCAAGACTACTACTACAGTGTTTAATCATGCTGGCCATTAGCTAACACTGGAATAAGACAAATTTGATAGCTGACATGGCTTCTTCCTTAGAATGAAAACGGTGTGACCCTGGATGCCCTAAAAAGAAAAGTATAAGCCAGGCCACCCTTGAACTTGTGGCAGGTGTGAGCCACCATGCCTGACTTTTGGATGGCAATGTTTTTGGGTTTTGGTGTTTGTTTAGTTTTTTTATTTTTTATGTTTTTGGCAGGGTTCCTCTGTGTAGACCTGGCTATCCTGGAACTCTCTGTAGGCCAGGCTGGCCTTGTGTGCACCACCACCACCCATCTGGATGGCAGTGTTTTTTTGGAGAGACAGACAAACCTTAAAGGCTGCATTAGAGGGTTCAGTTATTAGGTGAAGAAGCTACTTAGTATGATTGGTTGCAGTCAGATGTTTGGGGCACAGTGGGGGGGAACAGGAATAGATGAGGAAAACTCAGCCACAGACACCCCACTATGTATAACAAGGCCTTTTTAAACCTGCAAATGATCCGACTCTGGATATATGTATATTAAAAGGGTATACAAAACATTTTGTGATATAGAAACAAAATATAATAGTAATGAGATGGGTGTGGTTGTTTTATGTAAAGAATTAAATCTTGGCAGAATAGTTGATACTGTAGGAGACAGAATCTTCAATTTATCTATCTATCTATCTATCTATCTGTTTATTTATTTATTTTTGAGACAGGTTTCCCTGTGTAGCTCTGGCTATTCTGGAGCTTAATTTATAGACCAGATTGGCCTTGAGCTCGGAGATCCACTGGGATTAACGGTATAAACTACCACACCCAACATATCTTCAACTGTTTAAGAGTTGAGTGTTTTGATTTTTAATGGTCAGTGCTGAGAACACCGCTGCACATAAACATATAATATAAAATGACAAGTGTATTTAGGGTCATTTCAAAATCAACTCTTCCAACACAATACAATCCAAAAATATACTAATTTAATACTTACACGTTGAAGAAGGATAATAAGAAAAGTCTTTGTTTAAACCATTGTTTCTGTAGGAACAGAAAACCTTGTATATACAATACAAACACTGTAGTTTATAACATACAGTAATCTCGGATCTGAGCCACAGCATTTCAACAGCTTCTGTTGGAGTATCGAGGTGTGATGAGTGTGCACAATGCAAAGTGCGCGTGATGTGTCCAGAACAAAGACCTAAGTGAGGTCACGTGATCGAGAATGGGCAAACACTGCCAGAAACAACTCTGATTTTATCTGGGGATGGTTGTTAGCCACCTGGAACTCTTGTTTCTCTTGTTTCTGTCTCCTATGGGACAAGACTATGCCCATGGGGGTTAGAGAGATGGCTGAGAATTTAAGAATTCTTACTGTTTTCTCGAGGCTCTGAATTGGGTTCCCAGCACCCATGTCAGGCAGTTCACAAGGGTGTGTGACTCCAGCCCAGGAGGATCCAGTGGTGGCTCTGACCTCCACAGGTGCCCATACACACATGCACAGACCAACACACACATAATGTAAAAATGACTCTTTGGTGGCTCAGGCGTTAAGAGCACTAACTGAACTTGCAAAGACCCTGGTTCTTTTCCTAGCTCAGACATCTAACAATATCTAGAATTCCAGTTCCTTGGGCTTTACCTCCTCTGGCCTCACTGAACCCTTGCATGTACATGGTGCATATAAAGTCACACAGGCATACAAACACATAAATAATTAAAAGATTCCAGTCCTGTGCCACCATATCTAGCTGCTTCTCTGTTTTCTGAAAGAGCCACAGGCTAGTGTGCTAACAAGAAATGAGCTTATAATGCTTCTTCCAGTCATTTTATTTTTTTTAATTTGAAGGTGATAAATGCTCTAAATAAAGTTGAAAAAAATAAAAGCATAAAGAAGAAATGCTATCAACTAAATAATGTGATTAATAATTGTGGCGTGTGAACCTTGAGTTGGCAAGGATCAATTCTATTTTAAAGTTCCAAGTGAGCAAATNATATAATGTTTAGATATCCTAAAAGGTTTTGCTGCATCAAATGTAGACGATATCACCTTGTTTCTGGCCTTCAATGAAAGTCATCTTAATTGAGACAACATAATAAATTGGTAACAGGTAACTTAATAAAACAGTACTCTGGTCTGGTTTATGAGCAGCCTGTCAAGACGATGTTTGTTTGCCTTGTGAAGAATTGAATATACATCTGGGCAGTGGTAGGAGCGGTGGTGCACACCTTTAATCCCAGCACTCAGGAGGCAGAGGCAGGTGGATCTCTGAGTTTGAGGCCAGCCTGGTGTACAGTGCACGTTCCAAGACAGCCAGGGCTACACAGAGAAACCCTGTCTCAAAAAAACAAACAAACAAGTTCAATATACAAACCAAGTGCTGCTTAGGTCTTACTACTTTCTTCCCTGCATGTCCTTTCCAGCAATACTTCAGAGCAGAGAAAAGAACCTGATGTGCCTGTGTTCTTCCCAAATGCTTTGCTGGCTGAGAGTGTGAGCATGTGCTTACAGACTGAGCCAACAGAGGGAGCCAGTAGCAGCGCTGGATCACCAGAAGGACCAAGAGTTGAGCCTGACTTTCCAGCAGATAACCAGAAAATTTACCAGGACTTGTTGGTAAGTGTAGCCCATTTGATCTTTTGTGAGGTGGTTATATGATATAGAAAATACTCGTTAAGTTTTCCCTAGGTTTAAATTGATTGAAACCTTGAAATAGAGTCACTTTAGACATATTTAACCATATGTAATTTTTCAGCTTTTCATAAATTTGGTAACTAATTGTAAACTTTGTAGTCATTAGATACTTAGCCAGAAAAAAAAGAAATATTTATTTTAAAAATATAACTGTTTAATAAATAAATAAAGAAAGAAAAAAATATAACTGTTACTATTCTGCTAAATTCATTCTATAGTTGGAACTAGAGGATAAAAGACAAGCAACTTAAGTCTGTGAGGAATTTGAAAATAGTGGAATATTTATGATACTATTAACTAATTTCAGTTCGGGTAAGCAGGTAATTAATAAACATTTAGCTTAGTTTAAGAAAGGAGACTAAGCTAAGTAGGTATTCTAGCAGTGTAGTCTGTGCCTTTGAGAACAGAGGGGAAATTCTAACAGGGACACCAGTGACAAGCGTGATGGGTTGAGAAGTATAGGAAAGCAAAACAGAATAAATAGATCTTTTTAGCTAACTTAGAAGGTGAGTGGGTTCTTCTTTCTTTTCTTTCTTTTTTCTTTCTTTCTTTTTGTTTTGTTGTTTTGTTTTTTTTGAGACAGGATTTCTCTGTGTGTAACAGAGCTGGCTGTCCTGGAACTCACTTTGTAGACTAGACTGGCCTCAAACTCACAGAGAGTCACCTGTCTCTACATCCCGAGTGCTGGGATTAAAGGTGCGTACCGCCACCACCCAGCTGTGAGTGGGTTCTGAAGGTTCACTTCCACCCAGCTGGAAGACTTGGAATGTTTCCCTGTTTGCAGCTGGTGATTAGGTAACATATGAGTGAAGTTCTGTGTGGTCATCAACACACAGTATGTGTTGTTTGCCCGCTGGGTCCTAAACTGGTGCTGGCTGTATGCTAGCTCGAATGGCATGAATTCAGGGTACCTTAAGTCACTGGTGTTTTATAAAATGTGAAAAAGAGCCTGTTTTATAACCTGAAGAAGCATATTGCCAACTTGAAAGTGCGTGATTCAAGTATATTAGTAATTTTTTATTTTGCTTTTTTATTTTATTGTAAAGTTAGAGGCCAGAGGACAGGTTTTACTGTGTACTACAAGCTGACCTTGAACTTGTGACTCCTGTCTCAGCCTCCTGAGGACTGAGATTATAGGGGTTAACTCCTAGACTTGTTATTTGTTAATAATAATTTTTATTTCATTCTTTAAGAATTTTATACAAACCAAGTGTGGTGGTGCACTCCTTTAATCCCAGCACTTGGAAGGCAAGAGTCTGGTGGATCTCTGTGAATTTTTGGCTAGTCTATAGCCAGAGTTATGTAGTTGTCTCAAAAAATCAAATAAGTAAAGAACTTCATATAGGTTCATGTTCATCCCTCACTCCCGTCTTCACAGTTGGCTTTTAAGTGGATCTCCTCTTTCCTGTAAATCTGACAAAATCGTTAGGATGGGCTCCTATTTAAAAGTAAACAATAAGCCAGCTGCTGCTGTGGCTCATTCCTCTAATCCCAGCACTCAGTGGGCAGAGAGGGGTAGATCTCTACCAGCTCAAGGTCAGCCTTGAAATTTTGTCTCAAAAAAAAAAAGGAAGGAAGAAAGAAAAGACAAAGAAACTTGTATAATTGCAAGTATACTAGACACTTTATAGAATTTGACAAGGTAATATTTAGCCTTCCTTGTGGCATTATCCTAAAATCTTAAGGTTGAGGGCTAGAGGGGGGCTGGGCAGTTGAGAAAGCTTGCTCTCTGAGAGGACTGGAGGTTGGTTCCCAGCACCAGGTCAGGAGGCTCACACCCACTGACAGTCCATCTTTGAAGGCGCCCACGTGCACACAGACATACATATAAATTAATGAGTAAATTATTTTTAAAAAGACCTTAAGAGTGTTAGTGATTTTTAAATTTAATTTTTATCCTTTTAATTTTTATTCTTTTTTTTCCCACAGGGTAAAGTGAACCACCTACTAAATAACTCCTCCCAAGAAATTGACCAACTACCTACCAAAGCAGTAGTTGTCAACCATGAATGCACCAAGACCCAAAATACTCACCATGTAAGGAAAAAAAAGCACAATTCAGGGCTGGTAGACAAAGACTGTGTGCTCAGTGCAACTATTAAACAGCTAAGGAGCCTGGGAGTGAAAATTGATTCCCCCACTAAAGTGAAGAAAAATGCCCAGAAAGTGGACCATGCCAGGTAACCTGAGTTTTAAAGGATGAATGCATGGCAGTGTGTTTCCGTACTCTGGGATGGCGTGTGCGTGCCCTTCTGTCTGCTGGCTTGTCGTTTGTTGAGAGCCCGCTATACTGGGAGGCAAATATCATCTTTATATTTTCCAGTCTTCTAGTGGGATGAGGTGACATAGAAAAGTCACTTGAGGATGGCTGCTCTATTGATTTATTCTTTTAGTGTTATCTTTCCTAGATAACGTTGTCAGCAGAATACTGGAAAGGAGAAATGAGTTTTATTGGCGGTCTGAAAGTCTCCCTAGAGGTAGTGGAGATGTGCCAATTCCCGGTGTTCAGCCGCACACACTGCTGGTAGAAAGCATGGGCGTTCCTTTGGCAGTGTGCAGCCAACCATCAGACACTTCGTCTAGATTCCGCTTTACCAGAGACGACCTCAGCATGTACACACCTGTTAAAAAGAGGCTATGAGCGGGTTTTCTCTTCGGTCACCAACCAGCCCCCAGATCACGGCACAGAGACTTATTAGTTATGAATCCTCGGCCTTATCCTTGTCCCATTCGCTCTTACAACTTAAAATAAATTAACCTGTTTCTTTTCATCTGCATTTTGCCTCAGGGCTTTTTACCTTTCTTTCTGTTTGGCCTACTCCACGTCTGAAGGGAGCTGCCTGGTTGACTGACCCTGAGGGTCTCCCTTTCTTTCTCCCTCATTCTCTCTTCCTCCTTATTCCCTCTGTCCACCAGCCCCACCTGTTCAGCTTTTTATTAGACCAGTCAGGTGCCTCAGCCAAGCAAGGTAAAACAGTAACACACCTTCACTAGTTAAACAAATGTAACACATGTTTGCCTAATTAAAGTCATATTCCACAACAAGGATAAAATCTGGAAATTAATAAGTAAGCTAGTAAGTTTTCTGATAATTACTTTTGTTACTAGAAAACTAACAAAATTTCCTAGTTTAATAAACAAATTTTTTTGTTGTTGTTGTTGTTTTGTTTTGTTTTTAAAGCAGTATGGGGCAATATAAGATAAAATACAAAAGCTCCTGTTCCCTCAAACTCTTCAGTCTGTCTCATTCATGGTTACTTTAAGCATTTATTTTGTATTCTTCTAGAACAGTTATTTTGGGTGAGGGCTGGGAACTGAACTGGGTCCCTGGAAGAGCAGCAAATGCTCTTGACCACTGAGCCATCTTCCAGCCCCTTTCTCATGTTTTTGATAGCTGTATAATACTCTGTTTTGCACATGCACTATAAGATACTGAACCCTCATCCTTTCTCACTGGACTTTTAGGTCAAATCTCTTCTGTACAATTTAAATCAATACTAAATAAATATTCTGCAAGTACTTGTTCAAATTAAAGTTATAATAATAGATATTTTACCATTGCTTGCCAAATATTTATATTTATTTTAATACTTGCCAGTATTACAGGAGAATGAAGCTAACATTTTTGAAGGTTTTAATTTTTTAAAAAATACATTTATTCACTTATTTATTTATTTGCTCATTTTCTACCCCCCCCCCCCCCCGTGTGTGAGTGTGTTTGTGTGTGCTGGTGTGTACGTGACCAGGGAACAGCTTGGAGTCAGTTCTCTTCTTTCGCCGTGTGGTCATTAGGTTCAGCAGTAAGTGCCTTCACCAACGGAGCCATCTCAAAAACCCTGACAGTTTTATTTCTGAACATCTGTGACCATGTGGTATTTTCTCCAGGTCCAGGAGATCCAGTGCTCTCTTCTGGCCTAGGGTACCAGGCACAATGTGATACACATATACACTCACAGACAAAACATTCATACACATAAAATTTAAATAAATCCTTAAGAAAAAAACTACATATACCCATAGGAATTCATACGTTTCCCATGCTTTCTATGCACAGCTGTGTTTATTTGAGCAACTCATTATGCAGCCCAGGTTCATTGTTCTCTTGCCTCAGCCTCTTCCTGATTACAGGCATGATGGATACCCCATTAGTGGGTAACTATTAGATAATGTAATAAGGTGTATTTTCTCACTCTCTCTTTCTTTTCTTTCTGTTTTTGCTTTCTTTTGTTATACTTTTTGACAGGTTCTTGTGTAGCCCAAGTTGATCTTGAACTGATTATCCGGCCTCAGCTGCCCGAGGTCTGGGATAGCAGGCCTGCAGCACCACACCTGGCTTGGTAATGCGTTCATGATAGTCGTCCTCCGTGCATGCTGTCGTGTAAAACACTGAACTGGCCAGCCAGTAGTCTGCATTCAGTCTGTGAACAGGGGTTACCTCCCAGTTATGGGTACCCTGAATGTGTGTCTGCCCATGAGGACTAAGTCTGGGTAGTCAGTAAAAAAGCCCCAGTAAGCTTAAAGCTGAAACCTTTGTTACTTTTGCAGAATGAAACTCTTGCTACTTAAAATAAGGTTAAAAGCTGCCTTACTTTTTTGTGTCTTGCAGTGTTTTGGCATGCATCAGCCCGGAAGCGGTGATCTCTGGATTAAACTACTTGTCATTTGCTAATGTTGGCATGAGCGGCTTAAGCCCCACTGGTGTGGATTTGAGCATGGAGGCAAATGCTATAGCTCTGAAATACTTGAATGAAAATCAGCTGTCACAACTGTCTCTCGCGCGATCAAACCAAAATAACTGTGACCCATCTTTTGGCCTTCTACATTTTAATTCGGACAAAAGCAAGGTCGGCCTTAGCTTAGTTTCACCAAGCAACATGTCATTTGCAACCAAAAAATACATGAAGAGATATGGGCTCTTAGAAAGCAATGACAATAGTGAGGATGAAGAGTCTTCCGGCCACACAGATAGTGAGATGGACCATGAGTCGGATAGAAACCCTGCACACAGACCTGCACAATTTGGTCATCAGAAAGCACTTTCTCAGAATGCCTGTGAAATAGCTCAGTGTTCTGACTGTGGCTCTGAGGACATGCACCCAGATATGCCAGTGTTGAGAAATATCACAAATGAGGCTGTGCAGCCAAGAGCAACAGAGCAGCTGAGTGAAGACCCTGCTTTCTCACTAAGGCATCTTAAACCGGATCCTGCAGTGAGCCTCCGAACCGGAAAAGCAGAGTTTACTCGACATCCAGAGAAGGAAAATGAAAGTGACGTTGTAGTGTTTCCTGGAACCTTGCAGCCTCCTGAGACTTTAAAGCATCTGAATAGCAGGAATTCAGTGGGCACCTTCTTAGACGTGAAGCGCCTCCGACAGTTACCGAAGTTATTTTAGCTCCGCCCCTCCTTTGTGATGTGAGGACTGGGTGTGTATTGCCGGCACTTAAGAAAGCCAGACCTTTGGGATCTCTTCTGCTTGTTTGTTTGTTTGTTTGTTTGTTTTTCAAGACAGGGCTTCTCTGTGTAGGCCCAGGCTGCCCTGGAACTTGCTCTGTAGACCAGGCTGGCCTCAAACTTAGAGATCCACCTGCCTCTGCCTCCCAAGTGCTAGGTAGGATTAGAGGCGTGCACCACTGGCCATGACTTGTGGGGCTTCTAATAACTGTGAGAGTCTGTTTCCTGTTAGCTGCTAATTATAGTAGCATTTAGAGGACCCAGTTATGAAATGGCTGCTTAGTGGGAAGGCTGGGCTCCTGTGTCACTGAGCCTAAAACAGAAGTATAATAACCCTGAGATCAGGTATTGCAGCAAATCAAGTTCAAATGTACCCCCTATACCCCAGGCCCTCCCGTGTACTAATGAGCTCTGTACTGAGCCCCACCTCCGAGCTACATCCTCAACTGTAGGGTTTTTTGAGACAGGGTCTCAGTATGTAGCCTAGGCTGGCTTCAGATTTCTCCTGCCTTCCGCATCTGGCTCGGGTATGCATTGTACCCAGTGTCTCCCAAAGAAGCTTTCTTACATGCTCATAGTAAGTTTCAAAACAGAAATGACATTAGGCTCGATACTGAGTGAACCACAGAACTTTTCATTGCCTTTGGTTGTTATTTGGTGGGAAGAGGCAGGCTGGGGGTTGAGCCCAGGACCTCACACCAAGTCTCTTGCACTGAATTTTATACTTGAGTCCATGAGGTGTACCATTGATTTGCATTTTTTTGTGTATACACATGAAATTATATCCCATGGTTTCCAGTAACCCAAAACCTTTCAGTCCCTACCCTTAATAGTCCCGTCATCAGAATGTTTTTATCATTTAAAAAATGTTACATAAAACTGTACTTTTAAAATATCTTTTTATAAAGCATTTTACCTTTTGAAATTTACTGCCTTTCTCTGAATAATGTCCCGAGAGCTATCCATGTGTTGAGTGTGTCAGTAATTCTTTACTTCTGCTTCCCCCAAGTTGTTTTAAATTAGTATTTCTAAATATAAAAAAAAAAATCCTCATTCACTTAAAAGATGAAGGTTTCTGCCGAGGTTATGATGAGGTTGCCTTGTATTAAAGTTTGGCTCTTAAAGGAAGACTTTTGTTCTCTGAATGTTTTTCTAACCCAGCTGTGGCTTCCTGAGACAATACTAATAGAGAACTATTGCTGGTTAGTGGAGCCAGGGAGCAGTTAGCGCCCCCTTCCCGCCCCTCATTGCTGCAGTTTCAAGTCACAATTAAGACAGAAGTGACATCGGGTTTCCCTCTAGGTTCTACTTGCAGTTTCCAGTAAGTAGCAGAATTGTCAATGTTCTTTTTAAATTGAGCCTTCAAGTTCCACCCAAAAAGGGAATGCAGGTGCCATTTGTATTGCACTTCGAAAAAACAATATTAAGCCAGGTATGGTGGCCCATGCCTTTAATCCCAGGGAGGCAAAGGCAGGTGTTTCCCCAGGTATTTCACTAAAACCTGTACAGCAGGCATGTTTAAGGCTTCTTTACAGAAGATAAAACATACCAACTAAAACTGAGCCAAAGTCAGCTGCCTTATGTCTGTCCACAGCCTTCAGCAACTGCCCCCTCTACCCTTCCTCTACACCAGCACTCTTTCCCCCTCAGAACTCAACAGGTGTGTGATCCTGCTAGGTACTGACCCAAGATGTTGGACTTAATGACCAACAAGGCAACCATACCTTGTCAGAGCTCAGTGATGAGGGGCTGATGCAGTCAGGTAGCATTTGTAGTAAAGCTAGAAAAATGTCAGCGTGGTAGAGAACAGAGGGAGGCTGTTTTCAGAGTATTCTGGGAAAGTGGCATTTTCCCAGACTCTTGGTATCGATAAGAAAGAGAATGGAAGAAGGGTCTGAAAAAGCCTGGGCTAAAACCGGTCTCGCTGAACATAGCGGACAATGAGGACTACTGAGACCTCAAGAACAATGGCAATAGGTTTTTGATCCTACTGCACCTATTGGTTTTGTGGGAGCCTAGGCAGTTTGGATGCTCACCTTACTAGACCTGGATGGAGGTGGGTGGTCCTTGGACTTCCCACAGGGCAGGGAACCCTGATTGCTCTTTGGGCTGACGAGGGAGGGCACTGAATTGGGGGAGGGGGAGGAAAAAAAGAGGCAGCGGTGGGGAAGAGACAGAAATCTTAAATAAATAAATAAAATAATAAAAAAGAGAGAGAATGGAAGACATTCTCTGTGACAAAGTATTGGAGAGGGGAACAGACCGCTTTGGAGGAGGGGACTTAGGGTGGGGAGCCAGCAGTAGGAAAGGCTGCACTGGGAGTCAGCAACCACTGGGTTCTGGTTCCTGTGCCCCAAAACAACACTAGGTATGAAACTTAGAGGTTTTAGTCCCTGATTTTGTAGATGACAGGGTAGCCCTAAGTGACATACTATGCGTGAAATGTTGGTACAAAAAAAAGACATGAGCCAGGTATGGTAGTGCACACCTTGAATCCCGGCACCTGGCAGGCAGAGGCAGGTAGATCTCTGAGCTTGAGACCAGCAGGTCTACATAGCAAATTCTGGGACAACCAGGGCTACTTTTTAGACCCTGTCTCAAACAAAACAAGAAAAAAATCCATGAGCAGAGCCAAGAAGGTCCAGAGGGAGGAAGGGCTTTCTATATGAGAGCAAGTGGTGTCAAGTCTCACCCTGAAAGATCCTAGAGGGTTTCCCCAGGTGTAGATAAGGAAAAATTTCCCTCATTTTTAAAATAATGTTTAATATACTTCACACACACACACACACACGAGTTACTTTTCCCAACAAAGAAGTTGTGGAGGCATGCTGACTGAAAGAAGGCCACCATGTTGGCTCCACATCTCACACATTTCCTAGTGAAAGAAAGCCCCACTAAAAGGTGCCTGGGAGTGTGGAGGCCTGGGTGATGCCCCTACACCCCCATCTCCCGTAACCGGAGCCGTCTGGGTCAGGGGGGAGCATCCTCAGAGGAAATCCTGCTTTTCCATTTCCTGGCCAGAGGCTGAACTCCAGGAAAAGGATGGATTTGGGGAGAGCTGTGTCCTGCCTCTTCATGGGAGGTCTGGGGCCAGGACAAGGGTGCTTATCAAAAACAACGGGAAGGATGACATCAGGCATTTGTGGGAGTCATGGTTTGGGGTCCTAAAAAGTCACTTACTCTCCATTGTGTACACCTGAGGACACAGCCAGAGGACAGCAGGGACTTGGTCTGGATCACAGTGCAGGGTGCACCAGCTGAGATGAACTCAGAGCCGCAGCCTCCACAGCATGCCTTCATCTGTCTCAGGGTCTGAGCAAGTTAGCAATCAAGCAGTCCAACCCAGGCCCTCAACTGAAGCCTGACATTCCGGAAAAGGAATAAAGGCAGTACACACAGTTCCAGATTTCCATCTCTGCTGTCGCTTCCAAATCACTTTTGGAGAACACTTCAAAACCCGGCTTATGTATTCCCCTTGCATCCTCTCCATCCTACAGGAAACCTGGAGGCCTCACATGGGAGTACTGTCTTTCCCTCCTTTGTTGAAACTCCGTAGCTCTTTCTCTGATCCTCTTGTCCTCTGAAGCCATCTTGCATGTGTGTACTCATGGCTATGAGTACTCTGGTGTACGACCCCCTTGTCCAGTGAAGAACCACAGGTAGGGTAGAGGGATGAGGTAGGCATTAACTTAGGTTCCCTAGAGCTCATGCTCTACCTTGATAAAGTGGCATCAGGACTTAGCTGAGGTTGGGAGTAGGCCACAAATGAGTCACTGCTGATGAGTGACTTCAGATTTCCCACCCGGACCTCCACCAGCACAAGACTAACTTGTGGGGTAAGCATCTATGCCACTCCACGGAAACCTGCATTTCCCGGCTGCAACAGGTGGGGGCACCATTCAAGGCTAGTGTGACCACACTCTGAGGTCCATTTCTCTGTCTTTCCAGGCCAGACAGCGTGCCCTTTTAGACAGCTCTGTGACTGGTTTTAGAGCCAAGACAACTAGACAGTTCCACTTCCTCCAAGTGAAGCCCAGGTTCCTGCTGGGTGTTTACCTTCTTTATTTCTTCTCTCTCTAGCTCCATCCTTCATTGATTTCTTCAACACCTAGTCTGTGATATGCTCTATAAAGACAAGCCATGGCGGGGGGGGGGGGGGGTGGAGAGATGGCTCAGTGGTTAAGAGCATTGCCTGCTCCTCCAAAGGTCCTGAGTTCAATTCCCAGCAACCACATGGTGGCTCACAACCATCTATAATGAGATCTGGTGCCCTCTTCTGGCATACAAACATACATGGAAGGAATGTTGTATACATAATAAATAAATCTTTAAAAAAAAAAAAAAAAGACAAGCCATGGACACGATCTTATCTTTGGAGGGTCTTTGTGCCTAGCACCATGCTGGGAATAATCAAGGGACACGGGGATTTCTGCTCTGCAGGGAGTTCAGGCCAACCTTGCTGCTGCTGCTGCTGCTGCTGCTGCTGCTGCTGCTGCTGCTGCTGCTGCTGCTGCTTCTCTGTCCTAGAAAATTTGCTTGGTGCTTACCATCCTCTTCCTGCCCCATCCCAAATTTGGTAAGGCTGATTTCCTCAGGGCCTGGGGAAACAAGATAATGATGGGTAGGTAGCCTAGGAGAAGCAAAATGCCCACTTATACATCACAAATTCCCTTAAGCCTGTAGTAGGCAGAAACCATAATGGGTCCCTGAGAACAGCCCAGATGGACTCAGTCCTCTCATACCCCTGGTGGTCAGCACAGAGCACACTACTGCTCAAAATGAACCAACAGACAGAAGAGAACGAGTGAGAATGAGGAGACCATTCCAAGGCAGGGGCAGAGGTTGCCCTCCACCACCATGGATGTCAAGATTGGAAGGAAGCTGGAATTTCTTTTCTCTTTTCATTTAGACTGGGTCTATATCAAAGGCTGACCTGAAACTCACTCAGCTGAGGGTGACCTTGAGCTGCTGATTCTCTTGTCTTCACCTCCCTGGTCTTAGCATCAGAGGGGTGTTC